GAAAGAGCTATCTATCTATCTATCTATCTATCTATCTATCTATCTCTCTCTCTCTCTCTATATATATATATATATATATATATATATATATATATATATATATATGTTTGTACAATAGGAGAGAAGTTCGAATTCAGTCAAATCCATTACATTCACTTACGTGTTAATACCCTTGGGAAAGGTGTGAATCCTCTTCTCCCTCCAGCTATGGGTAAAATAGCAGGACAGACTGGGTTCTATAGCCTTGGATGGCAACTGGTCTAGGAGAAGGACAACTCTGAATTCAATACGATTAGGATAGGGAGGGAAGAAGAAAGAGATGATGATATGCCAGGAATGTAAGTTTGATGTTGAGGCACGGTGGAAGAATGGATAGCGGCTCGGATTGAGGAATCGGAGATCCGAGTTCGAATTCCAGTCGAATCCATTACATTCACTTAGGTCTTAATACCCGTAGGAAAGGCATGAATCTTCTTCTTCTCCCCCGGCTATGGGTAAATAGCAGGACAGACCGGGTTCTATAGTCTTGGATGGCAACTGGTCTACCGCAGAAAGAAGTGGCAACCTTCTGCAGGAAAAAAAAAGATCTGCCTTGTCAGACATGTATCGAAAGATACATTATCGCTTAAGCGTGAATCACATATGGCATTAAAAAGAAAACAAAACGCAAAAAAAAAAACAACAAAAAAAAAAAAACGAATGAATGAATCGTGAATTTGATTGGCCAGGCTTAGGATAGTTACTGCCTACAAGCCTTAAAAAGTTTCCCTTTCAAGATTTTGCCAATATTACGGGAAAAAAATCAGTAATAAATCATATTTGCCGGTGTTTTGTGAAATCAGTGCCGTGGGGATTTTTGTTCCTCAAGTTGCTGCCGTTTCCGAGGCATTGTTAGTTTTTGTTACCATTCGTCGCTTTCCTCTCTCTTCTTATTGTCCGCATAGTTGTCGGAAGAGCAGTCGGTTAGATGTTCCCCACTGCACCACCAATCACAACAGACTCTATTTTGCAACATGTTTCCTTATAATGGAAGTGCTAGTATTACCATTACGATTAATATACAAATCGTTGCTGAGACTAAAACATATGTTGCGAATTAAAAATCTGCATCCCCTCTCACAAGAAGACTCTTAAAAATTACTAACAGCAATACAAATAAAATACAATTTCGATAAAGGACATCGAACTAATATCATTATATTCACCAACCAAATCTGTTCATTCTTGGCAGCAGTCTGTGGACACATATCACAGGCACTGGCGTGATGCGCCTGCAGATTGAGGCAGAAGTGGGGCCAGGTGTACAGTATTTTAGGAATGTTATTCAGTGATATTTCGATTACCTCGAATCAGCGTGTTTAGCCAATCTTTTGTTCAAATTTCGATCTGTCTGTAAGTCACATGCTTCTTGGAGGAAAAAAAATTGTATTCACTCCAAAGCTTGTAACCTATACAAAAGCCGTCAATCTGCCTATGTCATACTCAGCAAATAACGATCGATTTAGAATTCTAAGGTGATCACATATTACATTCGATATATAAACTAATATATATATATATATATATATATATATATATATATATATATATATATATATATATATATATATATATAAATAAAATATAATACATATATACATATATATATATATATATATATATATATATATATATATATATATATATATATATATATATATATATATATATATATATATATATATATATTGAATTGATGTGAGTTTGTGACCCTGGGTTTCAAGTTATTTGCGATCGTCAGACAAACTGATTAATTTTGAAATTTTGGATGTATATACGGTGTTTTTTATGGTAGTGGGAAGAAAATTGTCTATCACTGATATTGAGCGCTTTCTAATAAATACCGCACATATACAATACATAAATAATATATATCAAAATTACAAACACATTATATATATATATATATATATATATATATATATATATATATATATATATACACACACATTTACATATATAATTTATATATATATACATATATATATATATATATTATTAGTTGCATATAATGGTGAAGATCATTTATTTATGGGGGGTCTAATAAAATAATATATATATATATATATATATATATATATATATATATATATACATACATACTTCGAGATACAAATATATGACTCTAAATCAAATACAAGTATACACATCTAATATGCTGTTGCAAAATAGTCCAAACGTAAGCACATATATCATGACATATCCACATATACAGATATATTATATACATCCTCATTTACATACAAATCAAAAGGTGTCCATGCAAAAAATCATTTACAATATATCTACACATCAATATATTTGCTATTGTATTCGTACTAAATGTAAATACGAAAATAAAATAAGAAAGAAACAAGTATAAATCGTCATTTTTTGCTATTTACGCAGGTTTCACTATATAGGTGGAGTCAATTATCAAAACATCACTCAATTGTAGCCAACAGACTGTTACTTTACCTTTTGACTACAACTGAGTGTAGTTTTTTATTAGGTTTCTTGAAAATTGTGGGAGTTTTTAATTTAAAATTTGTATTGAAATCAATATTTGATTTTTCGCCGTTTTTCGCTAAGCGCAGAGGCGTAGACATAAAATTCAGGTAACCGTCATACCGAGTTTGAACGGAATCGGTGGAAAAAAAATTGAATTTATCGATTTTTACTCGGCTTTATCGATTATTGATTTTTTTTTTTAAATTATCGAGTTTTTTATGCTAAGACCGTATCTCTTAAAATGTACAAGTGCCTAGTTTAATCAAAATCGGTTGGATAGTTCTCGAATGACAAGGTATCACACAGGCAGACAGACATATAGACAGATACACAGACATCCTCTGTTTTATATATATATATATATATATATATATATATATATATATATATATATATATATATATATATAATGAAGATAGCGCTCAAGATTGGATCAGACCGTTGCCACTCGGTATTTGCCTCAGCGTCCATCTTTCTCACATTTAAACTTCACTCTCTCTCTGATACTTTGTACTTTTACCCTATAAATGCAGTATACATTATATCTATATTTTATTATATATATATATATATATATGTGTGTGTGTGTGTGTGTGTGTGTGTGTGTGTGTGTGTGTGTGTAAATGTTTTCGTCTACCTATCGTAAGTAAATATGATGCCTATTTGTGTCTCTGTATAATAAGTTTGTTTTCAAATCGCTCCATTCATAAATTTAATTTTGTCGTACTCTCTCTCTCTCTCTCTCTCTCTCTCTCTATATATATATATATATATATATATATATATATATATATACGTGTGTGTGTTTATTTATATATATATATATATATATATATATATATATATATATATATATATATATCTATAATGTTTTTGTGCCTTATAAAAGCAAATGTAATCTTTAGTCGATAATTGTCTTTTACCGTGCCTCTCTCTCTGTTTCTCTGCCTCTCTTATTTGCTTTCTCTTTCCAATCTCCGTGTATTCATCTCTGCCGCATTGTCCATCTCTTGGTAAAGAGACGACATTCACAAAAGGTCAAAGTGTCAGAAGCGCTTCCCCTTTAACAGCTGCGGACAACTTTACAAATTCAAATTTCTCAGTGTCGGTTGCCTTCGCAAAAGTGATTTCACAATCGGCACTCAACGCTGAGTCAAAAGTCAATAGAATTTTCTCCGATTCTTCTTCAGACGTCATGGAATTGAGCCATGTCTATTCTTTAGCTGTTTACCAGAGCCTCGTACTTGCCAACAGGCGAATGCATAGAAAGCAGATTGTCACAACCGCACAGAGGATTTGCAAGGGCATTAGTCTGCTTTACATACGTTAACATATCGCATTGGTGCAAATATTGTTTGTTTAGAAGGCATTCTTTATAGTCTAGAATAGATACTAAGATGCTTAGATACTCAAAGCTACTTGATTTACTGAAACAATTATTTTCCTTGTTTTCATTATAAAGTTTCAGTCCATCCGACCGGGGGACTTCTTCAGTATTCAAGATGCAGGAATAAAATCAAACTTTCTATAATAGAAATGCAAGGGAGATTGTCTAGATCAGCGTTTCGGCCGGGTGCATTCATACACCCTGAAAGGTAGACATGTGTGTCCCAAATTAACGGAAGAATAATTTAATAATTTTTTTTATTTTTAAAACTCTTTATTTTTTAAAAATCTAGAGAAACAAAACACATGGCTTCAAATGTCTTACTCTTTATCGTTTTAAACTTGATGCTAAATTTTTAATCTTTAAATTTTTAATCTATTTATTGAGTGAGATTTGTACATAGCTATGATTTTAAAACAAATACAAAATATTGTGATTTGATTAGTAAAGTGAAAGATTATACATTGATATTATCTTATATATATTCTCCTAGGTAAAAATGGCACAGGTAAAAATGGCACAAGTGTGAAAATAGGAAAACTGGAACAAAGGGAAAGCATACAGAATAATGCACACGTTATCTGTTGTGGATTCCGGGTATGGAATCCTGCACAAATAAATAAAAAACGCCAGTAATTGAGATAGAAAAATAAGTGTATTAAACGTAAGAATACAGACTTGAAGTGAAGATTAGTAGTCCAAGAATACGGGTTAGTAGAAAGTATATGTACAAGTCTCTGTAAGTAAAGCCGTAATCATTTCCTTTTTGCCTTCCTTAAAGAATTTAATCGGTCATTATATGCTCCCTGAAAGGTATCCAAGTGCGCCCCAAGTAAACAGAAGGGTAATTTATATTTTTTAAAAGGTTTTACACATATTTCATTTTGGGTGTTTACCTCATAATCTATCTATCTATCTATCTATCTATCTATCTATCTATCAAATTCTGTGACGTTTGATAGTTCATCATCAGTCCTTATAATTGTTATGGGACCTTACCCATAATAACATAATGGACTATTCCATACGTAGTAAATACCGCGCCTCAAGAGGAAGCAGGGAGTTCTGTCTGAAGTCTGGAGTGAGTTCCGTCAGGAGTCAGTCAGAGCGAGCGAGTCAGTGAGTCGAGTCAGAGGCAGTCCGAAACAGTGTCGTGTTCAGACAATTACTACTAAACCTGTTAGTTCGTACTAACACTTTCTACTTCTCTGTATATATTCCTGTTTGTAATATATCTGTGTTATTCCATATCCGCCTTCGAGTTCTTCTTTATTGGTTCTACCTTAGACTATAACCGTGGTATAAGGAACAGGACCATAAGAATAATGCACCCTGGAAGGTACATATGTGCGCCCCAAATAAACAGAAGAATAATTTTTGATTATTTTTTTATCTATATATAAAATTATGAGACTTCCGTCTGTCACACCCTCTTAAATAACTATTTATTGAGTGAGATTTGTGCATAGCTACGGTTTTAAATACAAATACAAAATATTGTGATTTGATTAGTAAAGTGAAAGAGTATACATTGATATTATCTTATATATATTATCCTAGGTAAAAAATGGCACAGGTAAAAATGGCACAAGTGGGAAAATAGGAAAACTGGAACAAAGGGAAAGCATACAGAATAATGCACACGCTATCTGTTGTGGATTCCGGGTATGGAATCCTGCACAAATAAATAAACAACGCCAGTAATTGAGATAGAAAAATAAGTGTATTAAACGTAAGAATACAGACTTGAAGTGAAGATTAGTAGTCCATGAATGCGGATTAGTAGAAAGTATATGTACAAGTCTCTGTAAGTAAAGCCGTAATCATCTCTCTCTCTCTCTCTATCTCTTTCACTCTCTCTCTGGATTCTTGTATAACTCTCTGAGAACACCCTGTGTCTGTCTCCGTATCTCTCATCCTGTCTCAACGTATCTCCACGTATCGCAGTATTTAATATCCCACCCACGAGGAATATATGTAGCACAAGGCCGAGTTTAAAGTGGGTTTCTCCGAGCCCATAGGCTCGGCCAAAAATATATCCTTTGAACCCGCCTAGACGGGTCCAGGGCCTGACCACCTCCACGGACGAAACATTCGTCCGGGTTCCTCTCTGCCAAGGCAGAGAGTTCGACAGACGTCGAGACTGTATCACGACGTATCTCAACCGCAGGTATTCTCTCTGTCAGTATAAGTATACTTTGGATGAGTCCATCTTATGTAAAAAGGGGAGAGCCCCACAACATTATCTATTCAGTAAATTCTGAAAAAAAAATATAAATATTGAACCAGTAACTCTCTAATCAGACGCCAGTTGACTCCTGGTTCAGTTGTCATTGGTTTTGTTGTCAGTGGTTCAATTACGGGAATTCTGGTTTCATTATTGAACAGAGAACATGACTAGAAGGCATAGCGCTGAATCCTGGATTAAAATAGGTTCAGTTCTCCTGGAGCTATCAAGCACATTATTGATATCAGTGGCTCTATCATTATCTCGTCATGGAAGTTATAGCAAGTAATAAAAGAAAAAGAAGATTCGCTTACAAAACAAATTGCCAGAACAACTACTATCAGATAGAGATGTGTTAAGAGAACATCTTTTTGTAAAGGTACCATGACGACCAGCCTTGATATGACTGATCCTGAATCATGAGCTCAAGCCTTGATATTGACTGATCCTGAATCATGAGCTGCCTTGAATCATCCTGAATCATGAGCTCAAGCCTTGATATTGACTGATCCTGAATCATGAGCTCAAGCCTTGATATGACTGATCCTGAATCATGATCTCAAGCCTTGATATTGACTGATCCTGAATCATGAGCTCAAGCCTTGATATTGACCCTGAATCATGAGCTCAAGCCTTGATATGACTGATCCTGAATCATGAGCTCAAGCCTTGATATGACTGATCCTGAATCATGATCTCAAGCCTTGATATTGACTGATCCTGAATCATGAGCTCAAGCCTTGATATTGACTGATCCTGAATCATGAGCTCAAGCCTATGACTGATCCTGAATCATGAGCTCAAGCCTTGATATTGACTGATCCTGAATCATGAGCTCAAGCCTTGATATGACTGATCCTGAATCATGATCTCAAGCCTTGATATGACTGATCCTGAATCATGAGCTCAAGCCTTGATATTGACTGATCCTGAATCATGAGCTCAAGCCTTGATATGACAATCATGAGCTTGATATGACTGATCCTGAATCATGAGTCAAGCCTTGATATGACTGATCCTGAATCATGAGCTCAAGCCTTGATATGACTGATCCTGAATCATGAGCTCAAGCCTTGATATGACTGATCCTGAATCATGAGCTCAAGCCTTGATATTGACTGATCCTGAATCATGAGCTCAAGCCTTGATATTGACTGATCCTGAATCATGAGCTCAAGCCTTGATATTGACTGATCCTGAATCATGATCCTTGAATCATCCTGAATCATGAGCTCAAGCCTTGATATGACTGATCCTGAATCATGAGCTCAAGCCTTGATATGACTGATCCTGAATCCTGAGCTCAAGCCTTGATATGACTGATCCTGAATCAAGCCAAGCCTTGATATGACTGATCCTGAATCATGAGCTCAAGCCTTGATATTGACTGATCCTGAATCATCTCAAGCCTTGATATTGACTGATCCTGAATCATGAGCTCAAGCCTTGATATTGACTATCCTGAATCTGATCCTGAATCATCCTGAATCATGCTCAAGCCTTGATATGACTGATCCTGAATCATCAAGCCTTGATGATCCTGAATCATGAGCTCAAGCCTTGATATGACTGATCCTGAATCATGAGCTCAAGCCTTGATATGACTGATCCTGAATCATGAGCTCATGATATTGACTCCTGAATCATGAGCTCCTTATTGACTGATCCTGAATCATGAGCTCAAGATCCCTGAATCATGAGCTCAAGCCTTGATATTGACTGATCCTGAATCATGAGCTCAAGCCTTGATATTGACTGATCCTGAATCATGAGCTCAAGCCTTGATATGACTGATCCTGAATCATGAGCTCAAGCCTTGATATGACTGATCCTGAATCAAGCTCAAGCCTTGATATTGACTGATCCTGAATCATGAGCTCAAGCCTTGATATTGACTGATCCTGAATCATGAGCTCAAGCCTTGATATGACTGATCCTGAATCATGAGCTCAAGCCTTGATTGACTGATCCTGAATCATGATCTCAAGCCTTGATCCCTGAATCATGAGCTCAAGCCTTGATATGACTGATCCTGAATCATGAGCTCAAGCCTTGATATTGACTGATCCTGAATCATGAGCTCAAGCCTTGATATGACTGATCCTGAATCATTGACTGATCCTGAATCATGATCTCAAGCCTTGATATTGACTGATCCTGAATCATGAGCTCAAGCCTTGATATTGACTGATCCTGAATCATGAGCTCAAGCCTTGATATGACTGATCCTGAATCATGAGCTCCCTTGAATTGACTGATCCTGAATCATGATCTCAAGCCTTGATATGACTGATCCTGAATCATGAGCTCAAGCCTTGATATGACTGATCCTCATGAGCCAAGCCTTGATATGACTGATCCTGAATCATGAGCTCAAGCCTTGATATTGACTGATCCTGAATCATGAGCTCAAGCAATTGACTGCCTTGATAAGCCTTGATATGACTGATCCTGAATCATGAGCTCAAGCCTTGATATGACTGATCCTGAATCATGATCCTGAATCTGATCCTGAATCATGAGCTCAAGCCTTGATATGACTGATCCTGAATCATGAGCTCAAGCCTTGATATGACTGATCCTGAATCATGAGCTCAAGCCTTGATATGACTGATCCTGAATCATGAGCTCAAGCCTTGATATGACTGATCCTGAATCATGAGCTCAAGCCTTGATATGACTGATCCTGAATCATGAGCTCAAGCCTTGATATTGACTGATCCTGTAGCAGCTAAAAAACAATCACGCTCCTGATTATGCAACTATTGCATCTACGAAATGCATCAATAACATGAAGAGAAAAGCAGCATATACATATTTTTCGCATTGTGCCATTTGTTTTTCTATTTTACCCACTTGTGCCATTTTTATTCATGCCAGTTTTACCTGTGCCATCATTAGATAAATTCCTTATCCTAGCTTTGCTTGAAAAAAATGAGATGAGAATAGATACATGTTAGACAGAGTATTAAAGTTTTATTATAATGTTTTATTCTAATGCAACTCTAAATTGTCTTTAAAAAATGTATTAAAAAATGATAATTCGAAATATATGTATTCAGGTGTTTTCTTTTATATATATATGTTATATATATTATTACCATAGATCTTTTATGAAAATAAATACATGTATCCACCTATCTATCTATATCTACACCACACACACACACACATATATATATATATATATATTAATTGGTTGAAAATTGATTTGATGCAAAAAAGAATAGATTATAAAATAATTCATATATATATATATAAGTATATATACTTAAATAAATTTAAATAAATTGTATTTATTAAAATAATGTATATATCTGTGTGTGCGTGTGCATATTATATATAACTTATATGTAAGCTTAATTAGTAAAATATATTTCAGTTTCTTTAGGTAGATACTCTTTTATTAGCTATCTATTTATCTAATACATAGATATGTATATATACATGCATATATATGTATATATACATACATACATATATATATTTATATATACATACATACATACGTATATATATATATATATATATATATATGTCTGTGTATATCACTATACGTCGTGTTCAGTCGAGTTTTGTTTGAGTTACAAGAAATGTTTAAAGCTGTCAAAGCTTTCCCTATGAGCAGTTTAGATAATATTCTTATTTTTCAATTATTTTTTTATGTTTCATTTCCTTTGCATAGATAACAATGTGTTGAACATATACAAGTCAAAGTTTCATATACTACGATTCGTATAAGATTTAACTTGTTATGTGTTTTATATATGGCTAAGTTTGAACATCCTCAGCCATAGTGAATGCCCTTCATGAAGGAAGCGCCAAACCATAGTATGAAACAAAAAGTGTAGATAGAGCTCAATAACTATCTTAAATCATCGTTAAGGATTATGGTTATAGACAGAGAAGCTAGCTTTATCTCATAAATTGTCAAACACTTTATGGTATATAAATAAAAAAAGAACCGTGCAAATTTTGTTCTGATGCTCATACAATGATCTCAATATAGAATACAAATCTGTTGCCTGATCAGCACCGAAGCCTCAAACATACAAAATTTATCATTTACAAGCAACAATTCGAAACAAAGACAAAACTTGTTTTAACCAAATCCAAAATAAAATTTATTCAAAAACGACAATATGTATTGACTGTGTGTGATTCGGTTGTGTATGGTATTAGTGTTCGAGTATAAATATGGTTTTCACAGATGTGCAAATGGTGAAGATTTCGAAACCTCTTTTCTTTAAATTACATTTGCGAGATAATGAGTAGAAAGAAAATTGTCAGGTAAAGAGTACTTAATTAGTATCGCTAACATAGGGTGTTTCCAGTTCTTGACCTGGTTTCCATGGCGATGTTGTGAATCATTGAGATTGTTGGAGGAGTGGAAAAAAGGGATGAGTGACACCTTTCCTTCCATCTGCCAACATGAAGTTCAGTAGCTGGCGGATTTATCTCTTCTGAACTGAATATTTCTGCGCTATTTATACGTTTACGAAAGCTGTCGATGACGTAGGGTGCGGACGTAGTTTTAAACTAAAATTCGCACCTACTTGAGATAAATGCTCGCGGCGAGGTAAATGAATGGAAGAAAAAAAAAAGTATTTTCCGACCAATCGTTTTTATTAGGTCCTTTACAAATCTTTTGAGAAAACACCGCCCGGCTTATATTTCTTTTTGTTTTTACTTATGTTTACCCAAGAGCTATTCAACGTAGCGGACTGTTGAGTCGTGTTGTATGAGCGTAAGAAGTTGGAGAAATAAAGTTCAGGGGACTATGCAAAAAATATATCGGTTAACTCTAGACTTGAAGAGGCCAAGTTTGTTGTGATTGGGGTAAACAAAAGAGAATGAATCAATAGACTTTAGAAGGAAACGGAAATCCAATTCTAAATCGGGGAACAAGGGATAAACCTCAGCCTTTGCTCAAAACACCGGGAAAGTAGATGAAATGTACGATAGTTGAACCTATTTAGGTTTGTTGAGAGAGAAAAACGATAGACGCTAGCAGTATAGATTTGCAGTAGAAAGCGGAAACCTAATTCCAAACACGAAATCTCTATTCCTTTTACAAAGACAAGGAAGGATTGTGAACTGAACGATAGGCGAATCTCCTATTGAGAAAGAGAAATAAGAATAAAATAATTATTACGTTCATATAAGAACTAATTGGTCTGTTAATTTCTGTAATAATGTTACACGAGATGATCTTGCTAACTTTTGAGGGCATCGAAGTTCGAGATTCCTTTGACCCGTATTGTACGATTTTGCTTTTCTTACATTTATTTTTGTTTGTTTTTTAGGAGAAAACAAACAGAGATTGAATTTTGTATTAAATTATTATGCATCTGTATAAAACGTATGAAAGTGTTAATAGGATTATACATATACATGCGTATAGACACAGACATTCATCTAAACATAAAACGTGTGTGCATAATATATGGGTAAAAGGAGCCTCTGTGTATGTGTGTGTGTGCGCGCGCGCGTGTGTAACAGAGGTAAGTATCTCCCAAAGCGATAGAAACTTTCTGAATACGTTTTTAACAAATAATGGTTCATTTTACATTACGACTCATATCAGCAAACATCGACATATTGATAACATTAGCAACAATCTACCTAATGAAATTATAGATTATGCAACAGTAATTGTTTGAGATACTGTTATCTTTTAAAATTTCCTAACGGATCTTATATATATATATATATATATATATATATATATATATATATATATATGGGGTTGGGTATATGATAAATATTACTGTATATGATTCAGCATCAAAGGATTTTCGTATAGCCGGAAAATTGATCATAAGAAATACTTTAGTAATTAACTTATTTCGATGATTTCTATCGAAGTTTCCACTTGTCAATGATCTCGGCAATATTTTTTTTTCGAAATTCTGTGAATTCTTGGCAAATTTTGACAGACATTCTCCCCACGCAAACTTTTTAAATGTTCACTACATTTCACAATCACTATAAACAGTGCCAATATACATAAGGCATAAGAGAATCTATCTATCTATCTATCTATCTATCTATCTATCTATCTATCTCACACAGTTCATATCTATCTATCTCTCTGTCTGTCTATCTCACACTGCTCATATCTATGTCTGTCTATCACACTGCTCATATCTATCTAACTGTCTGTCTGTCTGTCTATCTATCTATCTATCTTGCACTGCGCATATCTACCTGTCTATCTATCTATCTTACACTGCGCATATCTACCTGTCTGTCTGTCTATCTATCTATGTATCTATCTATCTCACACTGCTCATATCTATCTTTTTGTCTGTCTATCTGTCTCACACTGCTCATATCTCACACATGGTCTGGTAGGATATCTGTTGTCTTCCAATAACATTTAACTTTACCAACTTTCAACTATCTATAAGCATGGAACCATTAACAAGATTACGCAAATAGATGTAGTTTAATCTAATATTTGTGAAAGACATATTCTTTCCTCAAGGTTATTGCAAGTAAACTACTCCAGCACCGTCATCTTCAAATATATCTGAAGAATTTCATCATCAAAGACCAGATAATAGAGTCAGTTCAAGAGAAGAAGAAGAAGAAAAAAAATTGACAACGCAAAGGGAAAAAATCCGGGCATTTGAACGAAAAAGGAAATAAATGGTATTTGTATGAGGAGGAATAAAAAAAAGAATGAATAAAAACGTTGTACAAAAAATAAACAAAGAAACCCCCCCCCAAAAAAAACACAAAAAAAAACAATTAAAACCAAACCATCAAAAATAAACATTGATATACAAGAGAGATAAATAATATATAGCAAGACAATTAGTCGAAGGTAAACTTATATATACGTATATCTATTATATTAAAAAAAATTGCGTTAGTATACATTCTGATAACGAGTTCAGTAAAATAAATATAAAAATGAATAGCTTGCTAGCAGATACGCGGTCAGAACACGGACATGACAAAAGTGAGTGGGTTCTCGTACTGTGACGTGAAAAAAATGACACGGTGTTCATATCAGATATTTGAAGGAAACTACAAAAATCCTACAACAGGTAGTGAAGGAAAGCCAGAAGAAATGACTAAACATTAACTGCAAGAAGATAAAATTCGTGATTGTTAGCAAAAGAAACAGCTTAAGGTGTAAATTAGAAATTGGAGATACCCTAAGCAATAACGCATGGATTTACACAGAGTGAAAGAGATGAGACGACTGGACATGGGAAGGATTAAGGAAAGTACAATAAAGAGACAGGGTTTAAGAAGACACAAGAATCCGACTGACAATTCTTGAAGGTTCTATTATAAGGGAAGTGAGAAACCGGATGGGAGTTTCACAGGGGGAAGTGCGAAGAAAGGAAATGTGGTCGTTGAATCCAGATGGCCCTAGATCTTTCAAATTGATTCGACACCCTACCATAAATGATGGCCTATCACATGAACTCCTTGTTCCCTCATTTAACTCTCCCAGCCTTCTTCTAAATTGATGACAAAACATGGATTTACAAAGAAAGCGAAAAGACAAAATTTACTAAGTGCTACAAAAGACAGGGAAATTTCGAGCACCAAGAATCGTTCACGTCCTGATAGGATACAGCACATGGAAGACGACGACGACTTTAAGGGAGATTTAAACCATTTGCAATGTATGGACTATCCTGGCTTCAACTGACTAGAGAGGTGTAAATGTGCTTGTGTGTGTCTATGCATGTCCGCGTAACTAAGGCCTATGGTTAGGTTTCTTCATGTTTCTGAATACGACAATTATGCAATTGAGAAATTCATGTCTCTATTTGTGCAACTGCCCGAGTAAAAACAGAATCTTTTAGAATATTTTAGATTTTTATTAGTAGAAGCGCGACAAAATTCAAATTTGATGATCTTCGGTTTGTTTTTCTATAACTCCAGATGTATTTTATTGTCTGGAAGATGTTTAAATTAATTAATTGCTGAGCAATAATGATATATATATATATATATATATATATATATATATATATATATATATATATGCGTTGTCCTGGTCGAAATTTTCTGCAACTCCTGTGGCAGCGGCTGATCCAGGGTGTTATCCTGTTGTCACGGCACCAAATGTGACGTCCCCCGCTGTCGCTACGCCAAATGTGACGTCTGCCTGGCCGCGTCCGCCATGCTGTCCCGGTCGCGGCGCCAGTTGTGACGTCACCCCGTCTGTCTCCGCGCCGTCGCCGTCCTATCTTGTCCCGTGACGACCAATATGACTTGGTTTGGTCGCGGCACCAAATGTGACGTTCTAACCTTTTGCTGATTCGGATGGGAATCTGGTTAGATTCGGTATCAGCCTTGTCGTTCCCAGCTCGCCTCCAACGTCTGGTTATCGAAGTAACTGTTTTGATTTCTAGTCTAACCTACCCACGTTGCGATTTGTTCTTAGGTCGACGAAATCATTCAGTCGCCGCTCCGTAATGCAAGCTGAGTCCGGACAAGGGTAACACCACACAGGTATATGTAAAAGAAAATAAAATAATAACTCGAAAAGTTCAAATGTGTTAAAAAAGTATAACAATATTTCATATTTGGTTGCTGAATACAGGACTGCACTTCTTCCCAAACCGCTATATGGATTCGTGACACTTTGTGTTTGTTAGGCGAGTCTTAACTTCTTAAGTTGTTTGTTCTTTAAGAAACTGGTTCTTGGTGTATCTTCAGGCGATATTGTTTTGGTGGTGTGAGTCTAAGTCGTTCTTCAAAAATAAATTGTTCTTGGTTAGAAGTTGAGGTCGTGATTTGCGTGGAATCTTTCAGTCGGGTTCCTGCGAGGCGTCTGCGAGCTCTCGGCTCACTACAACTGCTTAACTCAACTCAACTCAACTCCCGCAACTCGTTGCGACTCTGCTTATATGGACGCCGACCAAAACCGGGGTGGGCTTGTCGGGGTTTGAGGTTCCTTGATAATTCTAAATCCACAATCCGCTTCTTTGTTTTCGGTCAGGAAAATTTATTATTTTCCATTTTTGGAACTCCTTCCAGATTCTTCCTTTTTCATATGGGTATCTCACCCAATCCCTTCAGGGGGCGTCAACAGGTTTCCCCTCTCTCTCACATAATTACCTCCACCCAACGCTCACGCCACCATTCAGCCAATAGGCGCTCAGCGGCGTGGGTGTGGATGGACTGGCCTCGGTTTAAAAAAATCTTGTTCAAAGAAAAAAAATTATCTTCCTTTTTTTTCTTCTGCCCGACAACAAACCAATACGAAATGTAGTGAGATCCCTTAATCTCAATTTTATCTTAATGTCACCTGGAATTCGTCACTTGGGACCTTCGCCAAACAAGTGGGTGGTCATCCGGCGATATCGCACCTTGGTGCCAATTATTCGTTCTGATAAAATAATTTTGCTATCATAGCCAGCTCCTGACAATAAACAGGTGCCTTTTCTAAACGACATCTCCGTAGATAGCTAATGGCTCAGTCTTTTCTTTTTGTAATTTTGCGGTTGGTCCAACGGACATTTTTCCGCGACCCAATTAATTTTTATCTCTTTAGAATTCTGTCTCGGATCCCAGTCGACCAACCTGAAACTTTCATTATTGCCATACTCAGTGCGCCGTCATTAATCAAACGCGACAGATGCGCGACCTTACTTTCTTCGCTAATGGAAATAAAATCTTTCCACTTTACTTTGTTAAAACAAAAAATAACATCGCTTAGTGTCCTTTTAGTGATGGCTTCTTATCACCTAAATTTAATTCTTGCTTTTTCTTTTTTTTTTCTTCTTTCTTTCTAGCAACCCTAAATAGTGTCACAGTTCTTACATATTTTTAAGATAATAAATATAAATATTACTCTACGGATGAGTTACCCAACACTTTCTAAAATCTACTGGAATTATCAGAATCACCCGAATAAAAAGCCTCAAAATTTCAATTTTGGAATAGAAAACCGGTTAATTTGCTGTTTAGCACCCGCGCTCAGTCTGCATTAAGATTTTCCCAAATACTTACATTTATGTGTAAATGTACATGCTCCATTAAAATCTGGCTTGATAAATTTGATAAAATCTACCGTTTTGAAGTTATCGACAGTAAAATTTCGGATTCATTCACGTTACGCCCGCCATTCCTAGCGTTGTTTGCATATATTTGCTGCGGAATAGCTATGATTAATGTTCATTTTTCTTGATTATTGCGCACGCAGCGCACAATTGAACAAAGCCCGTCAAGTACTTCCTTCTGTGTCCAGCTTTCCGCAACGAAAGCATAGAAACAATGTCAGTAATGGTTGCCGACAACGACGCGAATGAATCCGAACTTTAACTGTTGACAACTCCAAAACGGTAGATTTTATCAAATTTATCAAGCCAAATTCGAATGGAACATGTACAATTACACATAAATGTAAGTATTCGGGAAATTTTTAATACGAACTGAGCGCGGGTGCTAAACTGCAAATTAACCAGCAAACCTACTTTATATAAGATGGAGATAATAAAAAAGTGGAAATTATAGTTCGATCACATTACCTTTGAATAATCGTTGTTAAACCCCATTACAGATTAAATACCCATGATATAAACCAGATACTTAAGCATGCGGGTTTCACGTCTGGCTACTAATAAGATATAGAAAAAAAATAGATGAACTGAAGAAATATGCCTGATAAAAAATGCACTACATTTAAATCTAGCAGATTTTGAAAACGCAGTTGATTCAGTCGAATGTCCGACAGGCTTTAACTTATCGTTGAAGCAGGATAGTATTGAAAAATATATGGAAACACTTGATAGTATACACGAAAATACTGCAATAGGTTTACTGATATGATATGCATCTTAAGTAAATACAGGTAAATTAACAGGGCAAGAGGAATCGATTACAACCTACACTATTTCTAGTAAATATTTAGAAAATGAATTTGGAAGTGAATATAATAAACATAAAAAGAGAAAATTTAAATAGTCAACGATTTTCTGAATGAATCACAAGAAATGCTAACTAAGAAAAACCAAGAGAAATTTGAATATATTTTCAAAAATAAAGAGGATTAGCGTAAAAGGAATGTACTTTTGTGACATTCCCAGAAAGATAAAAGGAACCGAATAATATCCAATTTCAGATATATTTGAACGCGTTAAAAATTACGTTAAAAACCATGAAAATTTAAAATAGGTTGGGCACTTCAAAAAATGGTGACTTAAAGAAAAGTGGAAACGTAAAGAATAGTGAAAACGTAAAAAAAGGAAACGTTACAAGTGGAAACGTAAAAAATGATCTCGTTAGAAATGGAAAAGTAAAAGTGGAAACGTAAAAAAATGGTATCGTTAGAAATGGAAACGTAAAAAACAGTGGAAACGTAAAAAACAGTGGAAACGTAA